TTCTAGTGTGTTGTGGACATGCATAATGCTCATGACAGTTACTGGTGGCCAGGTGTGACTTGTGGGACTGAGCTACAGCTATTTCTTTGAAATACACCCTGTAGACTCAGATGGAGTCATGACCCATAGGGTGGAAGGAAGTCCATTTGTAGATTGTGCTGATGGAAATATGTTGCTGCTGAACACAAAAGAATAACTGAAAGACTACTATTGTATATCTCTTATTCTCTTGTGTTTAATTGTTTGCCCTATTTGGTGGGTTCTTTCCATTCTCATTCATGGGGCTGTGATTAATTTGCTCCCTCTCTAGAACATCATTTAGTAGTCTGTGTAGGTGAAGCTATTTGGTTTTTTGGTTTGTTTGTTTTTTGCAGAACCGGGGACTGAACTCAGGCCCTTGCGCTTGCCAGGGAAGCGCTTATTCCGCTAAGCCGACTCCCTGGCCCCTAGCTATTTGTTTTTGAGACAGTCTTCCTATGTAGTTCAGACTGGCCTCAAAGTCACTAGCCTGCAACTCATGGTGATCCTCTGGCTTTAGCTTGCAGAGTATTGGGATTACAGGGTTGTGTCACCATGCCTGACAGGATGAAGCTTCTTGTTGTGAGCATCTACTTGCTCATACTTGAAATGCTCAATATACTAATAACAGGGCTGCCGACTGACTATATTAAATGCTGTATTGCATATTCTCACTGAGCTATATGCCACTGTAGGCCTCAAAGTCTGTTTCCTTGCTTTATGGTTATTAACTGCAATATCCTTCCCAAGGGTGCTTGTGAAGAGACAGGGTATATGCTTAGCATGGAGGAGGCACTTGGTAAATGATAGCTGGTTTATTGTCATTCACTCTTTTTGTTGGTGGTGGTGCTAGGAATTGAATCAAGGGCTTCACATATGCTAGGCATAAACTGTACCACAGAGCTATATCCCTAACCCTATTAAACTGTAATAATTTTCCATTTTTACTTTTCTAAGGTTTTTTTCAAGTTTAATCTCTTTCTTGCCATCAAAATTTTATTTTTTTTTTAATTTTTTTATTTATTTGAGAGAGAGAGAGAGAGTGAGTGTGTGTGGTGTGTGTGTGTGGCCAGCTCAGCCCACCAGGGGGCGGGGCTGGCTGGCATGTGGTGCTGGGGGATT